GGGAATTCAATCCTTCACCGTTGCCAATTACGACCATCGAAATCTGAATATATAGGAAAGTCAAGGTTGGAAACTCGAAGGTATTCAAATCTGTAGATGGTCCTCTTCCTATAAATATCAGTTAATTCCTTATATTACTTTCCAAGGAATTCTTGGGATTTTTATCGTGTACTCCTCGTCAAACACCATCTGTTTGTTCTGTCGGTAATGAACTAATTACAAAAACCACTGGCCGCAGATAAAGCTCATTTATTGGAACGACCCCCACTATTCCAAACTAGGGCTAAAAGAAAGGAAAACTCTGAAAGTTGATCAAACTTACGCCTAGTGTTGCGTCCTTCATTGTTTATTTTGGGTAGTGATCTACATGAGTCCCTATTCAATGTCCCATGAAAAGTTTGAACCTTTTCCTAGTGGAAACGGACTTCATTTGATTTACCTCGGTTTTTGATGTCATCTAATGTAAGATCAAGGCCGAAACTAACCGCAATGCCCTCCATAAAACGCGATTGGAGTGGCGTTTAAAAGTAATGTTTCTAGTCCGTTCCTTCAGAGTACGGTAACCGTAAAACACACTGAAGTTTCATAAATTTGAGAAGAATTTTCACCCCTCTAAAAATGGATTGACAAAAATTTATAGGACACTGCGCTCAGCCTTTTCTTTTCAAAACGTTGGAAAACTCTGAAGTGGTAACCTGACGGATAAAAGTATTTTTCAGAAACTCATAAACATGAAAAATTAGAAAGATGATTACAAGTAACAAATCAACTAACCATGCCAGCTGCTTTGCGTGGCTTTTCCCTGACAACACGCCAAATGTCATCTGTAACAAGTTGACCTCCTCCAGCATTGATGAGACTGGAAGCAAGCGCATTATCACATTACGACCCCATCTGATTTCCATGACTCTTGGTCTTGTATTTAGCTCTCATGTAACGAGATTGACCAGACATAGAATCGTTAGGTTACATCAATGCAACAGTCAAAGTTCGCGATTGTGGGNGGGTTTCAAGAACTAAAAGCATTTATCCATGCGTAGGAACAAAGGCAATCGCCGAGGCTGCGTCGCATGAACCACGCAAGCGATGATGAACACTGCTTCTGTCTTGCGATACCTGAGCATATGATATGCCCAAAGCGCTACAGCTCTCCTGTCTAGCTTCGCCCTTTCACCGACTGGTTGCCGCCAATCTAGTGGAGAGGATGGGATTCAATAGGTCACCGGAAACAGCGGATTGAAAACAGTTCCGCGAATGGCGATGTCTCGGTAAGCCGTTCATGTACCTGAACTACTCACCTCTAAAGGCACAGTCCACCTTAAAATGATTTAGAAGAATTCTCCCTAGGATGAACCAGCGGCCCCAAGCATAGCCCAAGGGACGGTGTCGGATCGAAAAACGGGCTAGATGAAATGGCTCCCAAAACCGGCTTAGCCTACGTATACGCCCAAAGGCGGACAAGTTGTTAATCGTTGTAAAAGCTTTAGGGTTGCGTTCTCCGCACCGGGACCCACACCTTGCATGCAGGAGGGCAGCAAGCTATATGCAATGGCGCAGGTTCGAACAGCTCGTCCAATGCGCCAGCTTTTTTGAAAACATACTCGTCCAGACCCTAATTTTACTTCCTCTTTGAAGCCTTACATGTTTCTAAACACGCCTTCGCGTTTTCTCCGCCACTTTTGCTCTATTCTGGACTATCACTTCCATTCCTCGTCTGAAACTATATGACCCAAAATTATCGCGAACTGTGCCTTCAAGGTATAGCAGTGGAGGATTCTGGTACAAAAACCGAGACCGGCGCGAGCAGCGACCAAGTTTCGTTACGCAATCGGTAATGGAATCTCTCGACCCGTTGCCAAATTTCAGCTCTTTTTTCCCTCTCACTAGAGAGGAATAGCATTGAGCGTATTCGTAAAACGGATGACTAACTGGCTGACAGGGGGAGGCGAAGAGCTATAGGGGCCGACGCGGTGACCGGCGATCGGAGACGGCATCGGTGTGGATCAAGAGCGTCGAGCGCTCTTGCTCTGAAGGGGCTTGACTCTGAACCTGGAAGCCTCCATTCATGTTTGAATTTAACACTTTTCAGGTGCTCGAACATGCCCATCTGCTTTCCTTTTTCCAGTTTTCCTTGTCTTCAAACCCCCACGGATGATTGTCTCAATTATGAAACTAGAAGGAATAAAGAAGCATTTCGTGAAGCCTTACTCAACGCTGACCAACATTGAAGATAGCCCATGTAAGAGAAAAGAATGAACAGTGGCTTATACCTACGGAGCGCGGCTTTCTTCTGTTTTCCTTCATTTGTGCGACCGGTCAAAACAAAAACTCGTCGAAAAACTTCATCCGAGAATATTCCATTGCGTTTTACCATAGAGGAAGAAGAAGAACGTATAGAATTGTACCTGAACTATTTACAGAACGGTGCTTTTGTTAAGGACTTACTGATTTCTTTACTATGTAATCAGGTATTCTTGACCTACTCCCAGATATAAAAAGTACCCAAAAGCCTATACGGAAATAGAAAAAGAATAAACATACAGCAAGAGTATTTCTTTGAATTTAGTAGGGTGTAGGCTGTCGTCCTCGGAAGAGATTTCATGTTCTGATTCGGGACCAATACCATTTTTGGAAGAAAGGATCCAACTCGGACGAAGTAACCATGCACCTGAATGAATAATAGGTTTCCGTTATATGTAAACCAAAAACTAAGAATCGGAGAACATAAAATCCTTCAGTGAATCGGTTGGTGCATCAGACGGCATAATATGAAAGTTTGGAAAGATTGCGGCGCCAACAAGAGACATAACCAACTGCTTGAGTTTAAACTCCGAACAAGCAAAACGAGACTTCCCTTTAATTTTCCGAGTGTTTGAGCTAGAAATATCTTTCCCAACATTACAACTTTCCTAACGTTTACTTTTGCGCGTTAACTTTGAGCTGTACATAACTGAGCGTAATTTATTTGCGCACACCGTGGAAACGAAGACGTTTTCTACTGAAAAGGTATTGAATGTCAGAAGGCGGGCTAGTAAAAACTTAAACTCCATTTTTCGGGATACACTTCTCTCCTTATTTCTAGGCGCACGTGAAATACCTGTTGTAAACTCTGAGAGAGGCCCTCATCCTACTAAACCCTAGATCAATTAGATTTCATGTATGAGACTCTAAAACAGAGCAAGGATATCGGGCAGTGAAACATCGTGGTAATTCGGGTGCGAGTTAGAAAACATCACCTTCGCATTAGGAGCAATTGGAGATGAGCATACTTGTATACCGTATTTACATTTACATATTTGCAACCATATAATCTTCCTCTGGATTCAATTGAGAAATTACTGAGCAAACCTGAGACAACGGCGTAATACAAGGCTGAGTACAAGTAGCCTCTATCCCTTCTCGTCGGAGGTTTCACAACAACGTGGGTGACAGATGTGGACAATAGCTGAATATAAACAAACAACTTCACTAAATACACAAAAAAATACTTTTGAAGAAAACCTCTTTAATTATGATCCCCTCTGCGCAATGCTTCTGAAGCTCACGCTTCTCCCTGTCATTGAATCCACACAAAAATACAGTGTAAATGCCTGGACGAGCTTAAAACAAATAAAATAGTATCACCTCAAATAAAAGTTACCCTAACTTATAGCATTGACAACCATCACCTGATTTATTGCATGGACTCCTTAGAAGCCTAGGAACGTCAGGCTGTAATCCACGCTTCCTCTTCTGACTTTTACTGCCTTCCCATCCTCGGCTCGAGAAACGACTTGTCATGCAACTCACTAGTAAATAAGACGGTCCCTAAATATGAGGTTTACTAATTTTATCCTTCAGATAAATCCTTTAGCTTCTGGAACTACCATAATTATTAAAAAAATAATTAAGAGCAAAGTTATAACCCTTATTAAAATACGAGTAAACTGCTGCACAGTTTGCTATACAGGTACCACTTATACTTCAAAAAAGGAATAACAAATTATAGAACTTAGTTGCGTCCACAGTTAGAAAGTAACTAAACTCTCCGTACTAAAACACTCCACCTGCACAGTACCTAGTCAACATCTACAGCTACGCCTCCCCAATTATCCCAACCCTAGGCAGTATCCTCGCAAACACTTAGCGGCTCAACTGCACTCAACTAAACTTCAGTTGAATAGTTTCGAATAGATCCACTATGAGAGTGATCCCTGGAGCGTTTTTGACCTTGAGCCTGGGAAGAACCTACCAAATTAGATGTTATAGAGATGTTTTATAAAAGCCGACCAAGGTCTACGCCTCGAATTTTTAAGAACTCCGAGAACTATGAAGAGAACCTCAAAAAAAAAAAACATGATTGAGGCGAGCTGAACGAGCCTTCCTGTAAATAGGTGTTGTGTATGTGCATCTCAAAATCAAAACATCATTCCAAGAGCTTGCACTAGTTCCTATCATTACGCACAGTTGTTTTTGAGGCACATCTTTCTCTGTTAAGTGAAGGAGCGAATGAACCAAAGAAAGGCAACGACATGTCGGACGGCCTGCATCAGAAGAAACAAAGTTCAATTAAACAAGAAATTTATTGAGAAATAAAAATCCGACGAACACAAGTAGCGGATTGATTCAACATGCGAATGTAATGTAACAGGGTATATAAAAATCAACAATTTAGGAGCCGATAACAAGTATAGCCTTCGCACAGAAAATAACAATCAGAAACAAGATATAACAACAGCCAGTGTATGTAGCCGATGGCATTGGGAAAAGGTAACAGGTTCGGAGTTTCTCGAATATGCAAATAAGGATCACGAACTATTTCGATAGTACCCTTTTGTTCACTTGCCCAAATTCTAGAAGTACTTCCAGAACATACAGGTCGAAAAAGAAGGTTCTCACCCTGACAGAAGTCACGAAATGCCCAACGCGATAAAAAAAAGCCCATATCTATATAATGAATCTTCCTTGTGAGCGAGCGAGCACTTGTGAGCTTAACAGCGACATAGCCAGGAGAAAATAAGTCAACAGAAGTCTTGCTTGCAAACGAATTCCTTGCTATAGCCATTGTTTTCAATCTCACAAGTTCGTGAACACGTGAAGACGTAAATGGAAGCCCAATCAATCGAATGACCTGAAAAATGAATATCATCCCCAAGTCTTTAAAAAAATCAAAAAAGGTAAATCAAAACGATTTCAGAGGTTTTATCACAGGGCGCTTTAAAACCCAAATTTTACGAGATAGTCAGAAAATATAATGAATAGGTGGAGCGATTGAAGAAAAGTAAAACAGCCGATAGAACAAAAATGAATCATAAAATTGTATTCGTCAGTAGGCAACAAACAAAACTGCACAAGTAGCTGCCGTTCCCATTTATACAGTAGGAAATATGCTGCTAATGTATAAAGTAGTAGTATAAGGTATAAGTTCACGGAAACTGCTGCAAAATCATGAGACCGCTTTGTGGTACACATACAGCATAACGCACAAAAACCTGGCCCCAGAATGAAGTGACTTACCAATTTGATCAACGCCGATGAGCGCGAGGAGATGAGGCATTAGCTGTAATTCAAAGTTGCGCACTGCACCACACCGCTCACACGGTGGAGCCAACTTCAAAGGAGGAGCCCGATCTGTAGCCAGAAGAGGAGTTCCTGAAAAACAAATTCATGAGGTCATATGTCAAGTGGACAGGGTTTCGAACCAAAAGGGGAGTCCATGTTTATCACACTCTAGGCTAGAAACGCACACCATCCAATCTATGAGGAATTCGCGCGGGGTTTGGTGATGAACTGCCGAATAAATGTACCAATCAGTTTGGAGTGCACCGAACATGGCTATTGCCTTCAATGCCGCTATGATCAATCAAAATATACTAATGCCGGGGCATAAAGCAACTATAAACGAAAAAATAGAGGTTTCCAAGAATGCGACTCACCCGTACGTTGGTATCGAAGAACTTGTGTGGGATTCAAGCTCAAGAGACGATTAAACCTTTAAAATAGAAGCAAAGTATGAATTCCAGACGATTTTATGTTTTAAAACAACGGCACCTTTCAAACTTTCGATCGTTTCGTTGTTCGGCTACTGCTGCCTCGACCTCTTCCGTTTTGAAGTTTTCATTTTGCTGAGATTAAAATGGATAAACAAAAGTCCTTCTATAAACAATCGACAGAGCGTCCGTACGGTATTGAAAAAAAGATGGAAATATATGGAATGTTGAGGAACTAAAAATCAGGAAAATAATAAGAAAATCCGAACTCGATGTAGTAAAGATGTGACCACGCAAAGAGCTCATCGGCTATGGCTGTTCTTTACGAGGGAAAACTCACAAGTTTATTTTTAGCTACGTAAGCCTCGAACTCCGCCATGCGCCTCTTTGTGACGTCCTCTGGTTCATCGTCAATGCATGGTTCATCATCGTTGTCATCATCATCATCGTCATCGTCGCTTAAGGTCTCCAATAGATCTGCCGAAACGTACTCCTTAAAACTTCTATAGAAGAAAGCCTTTCCGATTACCGTCAAGAAACTCCTTATTCGTTTCTTTCTTTATCAGGAAGCACATGCTAGGAATGAGTAGAAGATCCTGTTTTAATCAAAAAAAAAGTTCAAAAGCAGTGGATAGAAATATAAGTAGAGAAACCTAGGATCAAGAAAATAACGAAAGAAGTTGTGCTCCAACAGAGGAATTCAGTTCTCTAAAAAAAAGTTCAACATGAAGGGGAGAAAAGGAATTCAAAGTAAAGGATAATAGGCCACGCGCAGTATGTCACGCACACGATGTAAGCGCAGAATTGAATAGCGTTGCGTTTTACTTTGACAATGACTAAGAAGTCAGGAGACGAACAAGCCTGTGATCGGATCTGTCAGACCTCACCCCCCCCCCCCCCCCCCC